AGGGTTTAGTTTTAACTTTGGTACGGATGTTAATACAGGCTGATAATTTATCAAAAAGAGCGTACCTTATGTCAGACTGTTAAAGAAAATGTTTTTAGTACTAAGTATAATTTGGGACTCATTGAGATTGAGATCTGGTTCCTTAAAGATGTTTTGGACATCATTTCTCTTTTGGGATTTTTTTGTTTTGGTATTTAGTTTTCAATTATCAGTAATTTTTTTTTGTGAATTCAAGATATTATATAAGCCTTTAAAAGGAACCCCCAGAATAGCCTTCAGAACACACAATACTTCTCTGACAAAGCGTCTCTAGGGTATCATGGGAAAACGGAGTATAATCTATATTTGCACTAAGTATTTGTGGCTGATTCTATTAAGCAACATGCTCATAATTTAGTTGTCATTCCCGCTGCTACCACAGGTTATTTATTATTGCTAGTCTCAGCTAAAACATGCTTACATTTGGAGGCTTTATTTAGCTACAGATATCTAAAATTGTCTTACTTTTTAAAGAAATACTTATGTTTTCACTCTAGATATGCTTTGGCTACTTAAATGTTGCAGAATTAATTCTACGTTTAACTAATTTTCATAATTTTTTATATTTAGCCCAAGGAAGTTATTTACCAGAAAAACATTGACATAGAAACCTGGATTATTTTAAATTCTGATCATTCAGGGAATCTCAGATCTTAATGTTAAGTTGTAAATGATGACCCCTGAAAAACAACTAACTCTTTGGGGGATTCATTCACAATTTTCAGCCTTCTCATATTGGACTGAAACAATTGATCATGGTTAATCGATTATTCAGTTAATCTTAAACTAATTTAGTAATTGATTAATGGTTAACTGGAGAATAGAGACTCTAATGCTGCGTTCACACCGGGGGCAGCTGGCGCGACAGAAGCAGCGAGTTTACATGCAAAGTCAATGGTTGACGCGCGTCAAGGCGCAGCAAAAAGTCCCGCGGCGCGTTTCGAGCAGCAAGCGCAGCGCGTCTGAGCAGCCGAAGCAGCGCGTCGGGCGCGTTTTGGCATCTGACGTGCGTGACGCGCCCCAAACGCGATGCTGCTCGTTATGGAAAAATTTAATTTTTGCTTCTAGACGCGCCGCATCAACC